TGAGAAACTAGAATCGTAGAAAACAGAGAAGAATAGAGAAGCTTGGTGTAAGGAAAGAAAATTCAGAATCTGAGTAACGGAGAAATAATAGAAGTGTTGTGGGTTTACTTACTGAGCAATTAGTGCTCACCCCGTTGATTTCACTATTTTTGCAGGTAGTAGACGAGATGTGGTCAGATGGGACGTCAAGTAGCAGAGGAGAAAGGCAACACTGTCGGACTGTATTTTTGAGTTTATTTTTGTGACTATGGTACTTGATGTAGAGATTTGTATATAAAAGTAATGCTATTTTTGGGCCCACTACCTTATATCCATATATGTTTTTCTATGATATATTTAGTGAGTTTTCATTTTATACCTCCAAAGTAAACTAGCTACAAAAAAAAAATTACATGTTCATATGCAAATACAGCAGAAATAAATCAATACTACTAACCTCCAGCCATAGTAATTTGTTGTTGCTGTCTTCTTCAAAGATTACAGATTCTTCCAATGCACTACAATTCTCAGAACAATGGTTTTGGGAATATCAGAAGTAATTGCGTGTATTGGGGACCTGTAATTGTTCCCATTTTAAAGTACGTTTTGGGAATATCATAAGTAATTGCGTGTATTGGAGACCTGTAATTATTCCCCTTTCAAAGTACGCAGAAGTCTTTCCGTTAAAGACAACTGCTGGGGATAACTGCTCAACTGCTGAGAAACTACTCAGCTTAAATATTATATAAAACTAATATATAAAAGTGAAGGACCAAATAGTAATTAATAAATTTTAATAAATTAAAATTCTAACATTCTCCCACTTGGTCCAAAATTTTACTATACAATCAACAACATAGTAGTTTTATATTCTTTATGTTTAAAGTTTTATATTCTTTATGTTTAATTAGAAAAATAGAATTGCATGAACCATAGCAGTAAGTTCCTTCTAAACAAGTATTATCTTCCATGTATTACTATGCAATTTTTTTCTTTCTAAATAAACACTTAAATGTGGAATATTACTTTATGAACAAACCTCAAATGTTTGTTCCAGGTCTTCCAGAATGTTTGTTTTTCTCCAACCAAAATGAATACAACTTAAAAGAAAAAACAAACTAAATTACAAAGTTTCAGTTAATGAAAGTATTAACTCTCATAATAACAAACCGAGACATAGTCCCATTTGAACTACATGATCCTTGAATGTCTTTGGCGGCATGCCTTTTTCCAGAGGATCAACAATCATCTGCTCAGTATGTATGTGTTCAATGAGCACTTCTTTGGCTTTAATGTGCTCCCTTATTGCTAAGTACTTAATGTCAATGTGTTTACTTCGACTTCCACTCTTATTGTTCTTAGCAAAGAATACATCAGCTGAATTGTCACAATACAACCTTATTGGCCTAGAGATAGACTCAACAACTCCAAGCCCAGAAATGAAACTTCTCAACCAAATACCCTGTGTAGTAGCCTCAAAATAGGAAACAAACCCAGCTTCCATGGTATAAGTGACAACCAAAGATTGTTTGGCACTTCTCCAAGATATAGCACCTCCGACTAGCATAAAAACATATCCAAATGTTGATATTCGAGAATCAACACAGCCAGTGAAATTTGAGTCTGAATATTCGATGACCTCCAAAATGTCAGACCCTCCATATGTAAGCATAAAACTTTTAGTTCCTTGAAAATACCTCATGACCTTCTTTGTAGCTCTCCATCTAAACCTGGATTACTTTGATATCTTCCTAACATGCCAACTACAAAGGCAATTCCAGGTCTAATATAGACTTGAGCATACATTAGGCTTCCAACAGCTGAAGCATAAGGAATGTTCTTCATTTGTTCCTTTTCAATCTGAAGTTTGGGACATTGGTTCAGATTGAACCTGTCACCCTTAACAATGGGTGCAACATTGGGTGAACAATCCTTCATCCTAAATCTCTCAAGAATTTTATTAATATAGGCTTCCTGAGATAGTCCCAAAACATGTTAAGACCTATCTCTATAAATCTTAATGCTAATCCACACCCATATCCTTCATACTAAAGTGTTGAGAGAGAAATTGTTTCACCTCATGTAGCAAACCCAAACCATTGGTTACAAGCAGAATATCATCTACATATAGCACAAAAAAGATGATTTTACTCCCACTGAACTTGTGGTATATACACTGATCCATAACATTCTCTACAAAACCAAATGAAGAGATAACAGTGAGAAATCTTAAATACCACTGTTGGGAGGCTTGTTGAAGTCCATAAATGGGCTTCTTAAGCTTGCAAACCTGATGAGTGCTTGGAAGCACACTCATACTTAGTGATTTTAAGGGAATTTTGTGAGGGAATTATGTTTAATTGGTTAATTTTACTTAATTTCTTTTGTTTTCTAGAATCATGGGTATGTTTGATGAATTATTAGGTATTTAGGTGCTGAAAAATGAGGATTTCAAGCATGAACATTAAAGAGGAAAGAATCAGAATCGTATGGGAACAAACGGTTCAAGAATTGGAGTTCAAACAAAGAAGTTATGGATTTTTTAATATTGTTTGCGGCAGAGGATTTTTGTGTTGTAGAGTGAGTGAACACGCTACACTAAAATGGGTGTACCTTTAGTTACACAACTCTGATTGACCTGATTCTGGTGGCGTTTGAAAGCTAAGATGTAGCTCTATAACTTTTATGTTTTAGTCATGATCTAAGTTGTTATGCCTAAAAAATCAAGGCTGATACGAGCTTATGTCAGCAAGCGCCAATCAGAGTTCAGGAAGGCTTTGTGCCATTAGGAGCTACCATGTCATCCAAAGACAGAAAGAGTATATCTGTTATCAACTTGGCAGACTCAAGTTTTGTCTATGAGTGGATAGGAGTCACCCACCTGTCCAAGCCCTACGCGATTTGAGGATATCTCCTATGTAATCAGCCAATGGGGAGCGCGGTAGGAATTGTACTACACCTGCCCACCTGCAGATTTGTAATCATTTTCCTGAAATCTTCTACTATAAATAGAGGGCTCCCTCTCTCATTTTGGGGATTCTGATAAAAAACTCGCATTCTGATTGTAACCTTTTATTCTCATAACATAGATAACCTGCGAGAAAGAGACTTACTCGATATTCTCTCTGAATAATCAGTCATTTGTACCTCTACTCGTTGTTCGCTATACGCGACCTCTTATAACCTCATATATATAAAAGAATAGTGGACGTAGGATTCACTTTAAGCATTCGAACCACTTTAAAAATCATCTTCCATTTACTTAATTGCATTGTTCATTCACGTGTAATTTCTAAGTCAGCTTAGCACTTTACATGTGCGAATCATTGGTGTCAAAATCAAGCATCAATAGTTTGGCGCTAGAAGGAGAGCGTAATTTAGTATTGGTTCTTCATCAAGAATCTCTAATCAATCAGCTCTACTTGCTAACAAATGGCTCATGGTTTCAAAACTGAGTGAACTAGCCCTAACCCCGAGGAAATCTCCCGGGTACAAGATGATACTTTTTTCGAAGTACCTCTCATTCCGGAGAATACCGCGATGGATTTTCCCTTGAGCTCATAGCTTGATCCAGCTGTCAGGAGTAACCTGGAGAGGTTTAACAATACTCTCCAAACAATTAGCCGAAGTCTAGACCATTTGGATCAGGTCATACAGCCCGATTTTGATAAGGCGGTGCTGCCGCCAAAGACGCCTATAGGTCATACTAAAGCATAGAAATGGGCACAAGCTCATGTCGGACGCACTACAATGTGTAAAGACAAGGGAAATACGGTGACAGATAATGGGCCAAAGAGCTCCAAGGGACCAGCGAATGCCGGTCGTGAAGCGGGTAGAATATTTATGGCTTTACGACTTGGCGATATGTCACATCATGAGCTGTCCCACGCCACATCACGTGGACACCCCCATAAGAGTACAAGGCAGGGAGATTCCCTTCATTGCCAGCATGATGGCCCCGACCATCACCGCGAGGGAAATTCCCACCATACACGGGTCGGTTTTGACCATCGTGGAGGTTGGGATAGCTCCCCTGGCTGTTCACTGCCTACACATGGCTCCAGTCAGCGTGTGTCAAGGCATGTCGAAGACCCTGGCTGAGGTGAGGAAGAGTTCGACCTGCGGTCTTTCCTCAACTATAATCGTTAGGGTCGAACCCACGTTGCAGAAAGCAATCCCCAAGTAGCTTCACTTCCTCAAATTGAGGAGCTACAATGAGCTCTAGATCAACTTAAAGCTCAGCAGAATGAGTGCGGGCAAGCATCTCCCTTTTCTCCAGTAGTGTTAGCTGCTCCTCTCCCGTTAAAATTTAGAATGCCTGATATGCGAGCATTCGATAGGAATCTGATCCGCAGGATCACCTTTATGAGTTTAATGACCTCATAAAGCTTCACCAAGTTTCCAGCTTGGCTAAATGTCATTGTTTGGTAGTGACTCTGATTGCCTATTCCAAGCGCTGGTTTGGATCGCTTCCGCTAAGATCTATCAACTCGTGGCAGCATATGAGTTTGTTATTCTTGAGACACTTCCAGGCTAATAGGAAGTTCTTGATGTTATTGAGCTATTTGAGAAACAAACGGCAAGAAAGGAATGAGTCTCTCTAGTCCTATATTCACAGGTTCCACAAGGAGTTGCATAAGGTGGATAATACACCTGAGGAGTCAGTTCAGACTCTCATTATTGCAGGGGTTCATCCGCAAACCGAATTGTGGAAAAAGCTGCAATCTGAGGATGACATTTCCCTCACCCGCTTCTACAATCTTACTGAGAAGTACCTCCGAATCGAGAATTTCGTGGTTGCTCTAAATCGCCACGACCTCAGTCCTTCGACCAGTGCCCCTAACCAGGGGATAGAAGGCCAGGGGGAGAATAGTAGGAGAGCTGATCGCAGATGGGCCAATGACAATCAACGAAAAGGAAAGAAATAATGGTTTGAGCCCAAGAAATCTTATGTCCAGGTTCCTCATCGCGATCGTAACAAGAATTAGTATACTCCATTGAATGCATCAGTATCAGCTATTATGGACAAATCAGAAGAAGCTAGTTTGCTCGGAGAGCCAGAACCCATGAATAATCCCTCTGCGGCAAGGAACAACACGAAATATTGTCATTATCATCGGGATAATGGGCATCATACTGATGAATGTCGGGCTCTCAAGAAGGCAATTGAAGACCTCATTAAAAAGGGGCACTTCAAGGAGTATGTTGATAGTCCAACTCTCGTTCGGGAGAAAGATCAAAGGGACCAGGGAAATAAGTGTCGTGGTCACAAAGGTCTCCACCTTGTTGGGATCATATTTGGAGGACCACATCTCGCGGGGAGTTCTTAAGGTGCTCAGGAAATGTATACTTAAGAAGCTTGTCATGACCCCGTGAGTATGATGAGCATGGCATTGCGACCTACTAAGGTGCACAGAGAAGAAGAGATTACCTTCTCAAAGAAAAAGACACAATACGATTGCATCACCCCTATGACGATGCACTCGTTATCGCGCCTGAAATAGGTCAGTACAAAGTCCACAGGATGCTAGTGGACAATGGTAGCATTGTGAATATCCTATTTTAGCTAGCTTTTGAGGAAATGCAACTGGACGAGGCAGATCTGAAGTTTGCCTCTATCCCTCTCTATGGTTTTACTAGGGATCATCTAATTCGCAAAGGAACGATTGCACTTCCTGTCACTTTGGGTGATACCCACGAAGTGACTAAAATGATGGAGTTTTTAGTAGTAGATTGTCTGTCCACTTTCAACGACATTTTGGGACGACCTCTACTATGGAACTTCAAAGCTGTCACCTCCATCTATCATCTGAAGATGAAATTTCTCACTCCTATGGGGTGTGGGGAAGTTAAAGGATTTTAGAGTGAATCCTACGACTACTATATAAGAGTAGTGCAGATGACATACAAAGGGAAAGGGAGGCCAGTGGGCATTCCCGAATAGGCTATGGCAATTAGTAGAATCGAACCATAGTCAGGTCTAGTGAAAGACAACATAGATCATTGTGTTCAGGAGTATTCCCATAGTGGACTTGTTGAGACTCTATCTGAGGAATCGGTCGACCAGAATGAATCGACTTGAGTATTGAGGATTGAAAGCAATCTCAGCCCCTAGTTCTTTGCCAACCTAAAGAGCATCCTTAGACAAAATATTGATGTTTTTGCATGGACTCATGTTGACATGGTCGGGATCAGCCCAAATGTAATATGTCATGCACTCAACATCGATAGCGCGATCAAGCCAGTTCGCCAGAAGAGGAGAGCCATGACCTAGAGCGTTATGCTGCTCTTAAGGTTAAGGTGGATAAGCTCTTCTCAAATGGGTTCATTTGGGAGACTCATTACCCAAGTTGGATCGCCAATCCTGTTTTGGTGAAGAAACCCAATGGCAAGTGGCAAACTTGTGTTGATTTCTCTGATCTCAACAAACCTTGTCCGAAAGACAGTTTCCCTCTGCACAAAATCGATCAACTCATCGACGCTACCTCTGGGCACGAGCTGTTAAGCTTCTTGGATGCCTACTCGGCGTACAATCAGATCTCGATGTACACATCCGATAAAGAGCATACCTCATTCATTACAGATTGAGGACTGTACTCTTATAAGGTCATGCCCTTCGGTCTAAAAAATGCTGGGCCAACCCACCAGCGTCTGGTTAACCATATGTTTTCTGAACATATCAAAAAATCAATGGAAGTCTATATTGATGAAATACTTGTCAAGTCGCATGTGGCTTCAGATCACATAGCTAATCTTGCAGAGATGTTCGACATTCTTCAAAGATATAGAATGAAGCTTAATCCTCTTAAGTGTTCATTTGGAGTATCCTTAGGGAAATTCCTGGGGTATATGGTTAACCATCGGGGAATTGAAATCAACCCCAAAAGATCCAAGCTCTCCTAGATATGAAAAGTCCCGCCAATCGAAAGCAAGTTCAGAGCTTAAATGGGAGAATAGCGGCTCTTAGTCGCTTCATATCAAGAGCAACAGATTGTTGCTTACCGTTCTTCGTTATACTTAGGGCCAACAAGAAGTTTGAATGGACTTCGGAATGTGAGCAAGCCTTCCAGAGTACAAAAGAGAATCTCGAAAAGCCACATCTTCTGTCAAAGCCTCTTCCCAAGGAAATATTATTTCTCTGCATGTCTGTCTCTTAGTATGCGGTCAGTGCAGCTTTCATTCGGGAAGAAGGTAGAGTTCAATGGCCAGTATATTATACGAGCAAGCGACTACTGAACGTCGAGACGCAGTATCCAGAGATGGAACGTTTGGCTTATGCCCTACTAATCACTTCTAGGAAGCTGCGACCTTATTTTCATGCTCACACCATCCATGTTTTGACCAACTATCCACTCAGACAAGTTCTTCAGAGGCCGGAGGCTTCGGGTAAGTTGCTCAAGTGGGCTATGGAACTAAGTCAGTTCGATCTGCATTACAGACCAAAGATAGCAATCAAAGGGCAGGCTATTGCTGATTTTATTTCGCGGTTCTCTTACCAGCCAGATCGGGAACCCAAATAGTCAGCCAGCGGAGTTCTCCAAAAAACTATTCGAAACTTATCAACCTAGAGCCTCTATGTTGATGGGTCTTCGAACAGAAGAAGAGCCGAAGTTTGTTTTCTGCTCCTCAGTCCCGAAGGGACCCGCATTCATGGAATCCTTAGGTTTGGGTTCAAAGCTATAAATAATGAGGCTGAATATGAAGCGTTATTTGCTGGTCTACGATTGGCAAGAGAAATGGGGTTAGATGCAATCGACATCAATAGTGACTCCTAATTGGTTGTCAATCAGATTTTGGGAGAATATCAAGCCAAAGAAGAGAACCTAATTAACTATCTGAAGAAAGCCAAGGTTGCAATCGAGCCTTTCAAGCATTATACGATCAAGCAAATCCTGAGAGACAGTAACTCTGTCATGGATTCACTCTGTCATGGATTCTTTGGCAAAAATAGCCTCATCGCTGGATTTCGATACTCCGGACAGTATTCTAGTTCGATACATCAAGGTTCCTAATATCAGCTCACTTGAGCAGACCATAGCTGCAACCGAATCTACTTCCTGGATTACTCTGATCATTCAGTATCTCCGAGATGGGACTTTACCCAGCAGTTAAACTGAGGTGAGAGTCTTTGCGAACTAGAGCTACTCGTTACACATTTATCGAGGATCAGTTATATAACCGAGGGTTTAGAACTCCCCTCCTCTGATGTGTAACTGATGATGAAGCAAACTACATCATAAGAGAGGTACATGAAGGGATTTGTGGTAATCACACTACTGCATGATCTCTCGTCAATGAAATTGTCTGTCAAGGATATTATTGGCCCCTACTTCATAAGGATACCTTTAACTTTGTGAAGAAGTGTGATAAGTGCCAGAGGTTCACGAACATCCCACGAGCTCCTTCCCACCAGCTAACGACAATGACCAGTCCTTGGCCATTCTCTATGTGGGGAAATGGTCTCATAAGGCCCATGTCAATCGATAAAGGGGGCATCAAGTATGTAGTGGTCGCAGTGGATTATTTGACTAAGTGGGTCAAAGCAGAGCCTTTGGCTGCAGTCACAACAAAAAAGCTCAAGGACTTCATCTTCAAGAATATAGTGTGTCGCTATGGGATTCCTCATACACTCATCTCTGATAATGGGAAGCAGTTCGACAATAAGGAATTCAAGCAGTTTTGCAACGAACTAGGGATTCATAAGAAATTCACCTCAATAGCAAGACCGTAAGCCAATAGTCACGTTGAAGTTGTCAACAAGACTATTATGCACACATTGAAGGCCAAGCTCGGCGTAACCAAAGGCAATTGGGTCGATGCTCTCCCAGAAGTTCTATGGGCATATAGAACAACTCCGAGAAACTTTACTTCAGAAACACTGATAATCTGAGGATTATACTTTTTTTATTAGGGTTTTTGGTCAGATTTTAGATACTTCTTAGTTCATTTGGACCTAAATTGCTACTTAATTCTACACATTTTGTGTTTCAGGAAAAAATGGACATTTTGAGCAAATAATGAGCGATTTGGAGTTTCTGGACCTAGAAGTAAGCGGATCTCAAAAGTTGGGAGAGTTCTAAAGCAGTGTAAAGCACTATGAAGCTTGTTTCCAATGGAGAGCATCGAAGATCGAAGATCGAAGAATCAAGCAAAGAAGCAAGCGGAGGGCAATTATGTAATTTTAGAATTCTTCATGAAGATTCGCTGTGGCGAAAAGAGTTACGCACGAGAGTATTTTTTTACTTCGTCACCGCGGCGAGATTCCTTCTTCGCCGTGGCAAAGTCTGGGAATTTCAGTTTCTTTAAAACGCACAGTTTCATTTTCAGGCAAAGTCTTAGGTTTTTGAGCGAAGTATAAAAGTAAAACTTTGCCATTTTTAAGGGGGGGGGGGGGGGGGTTGGGGGGGGGGGGTGGGGGGGGTGGGGGGGGGGGGGGGGGGGGGGGGGGGGGGTGGGGGGTGGGGGGGGGGGGGGGGGGTGGGGGGTGGGGGGGGGGGGGGGGGGGGGGGGGGGGTGGGTTGTGTCATTTTAAGGCTAAAGCAGTTTATTTTCATTCTCCTTAGTTTTAGATTTGACGAATTTTGGGTTGAAAGTGGGAAGATTTGGGATTGAATCTAGTGGATTCTTCAAAGGGGAGATCTCTTGTCTTTTCTCTCATTTCAATATGTGAACCTTGTGTTTATTGTTTCTTGCTGTTGTATTTGATTTAGCTATGAACTAACCCATTTTGGGTTAGGGTTTTGATGTAATTCAGATTTCCATGGTAAGCATTGCTTTTTGTTATTAATGTAATACCCACTTGAGGTACGTATTTAAGATTTGCGTATTAGTTAAAATTTATTGTTTCAACTTTAATTGAGTTTGTATGTTAGTTGGTTGAATTGTTGCCTGAAATTGGTTGAGTTTTGGTGAAGTTGGAAATCCAATCTTCGCCGGGGCGAAGAAGAAGTTTCGCCGCGGCGAGGAGGAGATTGCACCCACGGTAGGTTCTGCCCTGTTTCGCCGAGGCGACCAAAGTTCTTCGCCGCGGCGACGAGCCAGACAAAGTTTCTTGAGTTTTCTAGAGAATTCTTCTTTTGGGGCCATGACCTTCTACCCCTAATTAGTAGGAAAATGGGGAGTAAAATGAAAGGAATTTTTAGAGATTGTGTTTGGATGGGGGTGTATTTGTAAAGAATCAAAGGATATAGATGGAATTTCCAAGGAAGAGCAAGGGCAAAATGGGAAAGGAGCTATAATATAACTAAAAGGGTTGTGTAGAGAACCCTTTTCTTCATTCACCGCCTCTTCCCTTTGCCCATTTTCTCTCAATTTCTCCATCCATCTTCCAAGATTTCTAAGGGATTTAAGAGGGGTTTTGAGTAGAGATTTCATCTAAGGTCCTAAGGTAGGATTCATGCTTTAGATGTGAGTTTTCTTATAATTGTAGTAAAGTCTTATTTGGTTATTGCTGTCCTTGTGGTTGTTTTGAGTTGTAGAGAAGAGACAAGACCACAAAGGGAAGGAAAAGTGCTAAAGAAGTCATCTTTGCACAGGTCAGTAAATCCAACCACTTGAGTTTTAAACAAGCTTTTGTGTGTAGATGTATGCATGATCAGTATGTAGTAGATTAATGAGAAAATGAATTGAGATGAGTAGCTATTTTTGTAGTTGTTGGATAGATTCCATGTATGAGAAGTGTTTTAATTGTGTATTGAGAATGGAATTTGAGATGAAGTTTGAGAGATGTTGTGTGAAGCTTTTTGGGAGTGCTTTTCTTGATAGGGATTATGAGTATTTGAGGGAGTTTTTCCCCAATTGGATGGCTGAGAATGAAGTATAGTAGTAATTCGTAGAGTGTTTTATGCACATCAGTTGCTTGATGAAATGCCTAGGTGAAATCTGCCCTGTCACTGCCGTGACTTTATAAGTATTTTTGGGCATCTTACGGTTTGAACTGGGCTGAGACCAAAACAGAGAAGTTGTATCCCTGTTTCTAAGCTTTAAAACGAGACCAAAATCGTAGTATCCGAGGTGTATAACACAAGTTATGGCCGTTTTAGTGTGACCTGTGCAGAATGACGGTTTTGAGGAAATCTTGTAGTTGGCATTTCATTAGTGCATTAGGGAGCATGAGCTAGCTCTACACCTTTATTTATACACTTGAGAAGTAGCTTGAGATTTAGTAGAGAATTTGAGTATAGCTACTCTAAAGTTAAGAGAAAGAGAATAGATAGGTTGTGCGATGGGGAACCCGTGAGTAATGGGTAGAGTATTCCCGCATGTACGCCGCATTGAGAGAGCGGCCGAGATATCAGATAGAGAAGTGGTGTAGCCCGTGAGAGTGCATGCGGATGAGGGCTATACCCGAGTACCCGAGAGAGAGATTTACACTCACGTGGCCAAGGGTTCCGAATCCATGCATAACCGAGTCCATCGGCTAGAATGAGTAGAGGTCATGTAGAGTGGGAGTGAGTCCCGCCGTGCCCCCGGTAAGATGGGTTCGTGACTTGCTAAAGAGGTAATAGAAAAGAGTTCTAAGAAAGAGAAAGAGAAAAGAGAGAAGTACCCAAAGAGAAATTGAACGAGGAGTTGTAAGGAAAGAATCA